GTCTAATGCATGCTGCATTTTAATTAATACTCAAAGGTCTCAGGAGTTGTGCTAGAAAACACTGAGCCAGGGAGGAAAAGAAGTGGCATTAGGACAGAGGGCAGAACAGGGCACACACAGGAAAGAAACCACACCTATTTAAGAGAGACTTTGATCTGTGGCTACAAAGCAGAGGTTATGGCACCCATAACAAAATCATTACTCCACTAGTTTAAAAAAAACCCAAAACAAAACAAGGAGGTGTGTGTAAGAAGGGAATGAGAAGCCTGTTTCTCTGGATGCTGGGTTAAGTGGCGGATTCAAACGGTTTTATTTCACACACAAATGAAATAAGCATCTGATTTCCATATTCCTCCCTGGCTGCTGCCATTACAGCAGTGGGAGGCAGAGGCTGACATTAAACAGCAGATGGGGACTTTATTAAATAAGCAGATGCTATCTGTCCAGCGTCTGTGTCTCCCGTAAAATGGCAGGTTTGGCTGAAAAAGTGAGGCTGAGGAGAGCTCTCAGTCTCTTCGGGCCTCATCACCATGATGCCGGTGCAGACGGCCATTGTGTAGAAAACTACATTCCCCCACGCTCCTCAGAATGACTACACTTTGACGGGGGCTGGATTTCAAAGCCGTAATTTATCGAGCCGCGTTCAGGTTTGGAGTTACAGCAGTGGCCTTGGAGCGAGACAGACTGCAGGCAACAACAGATGCCCGCATTCACTCTAGGTAATGGTACTACTTAAGAGTGTGTTACTCGCTGAAAATGATGCAAGAAATGACTGTGTCACATTTAGTATCCATACATTAGAGCCTTCATTTATACAGATATTAATCTCACCACGGCCTGGAACACACGGCACATAGTAAAGCTGGATAGAAATAGGGAAGATGTTTTTAAAGTCTGACACTGTGAGTCCTCTGTCAGACACCCCATCTACACCGTACAGTATTACTGCCCTATCCTTAGTCTGATCATTGGTGTTGTTTTTCTTTAAAATGCAATTCCCAATAAAATACATTTATGTAAACATGCACTTCTTTGACTCTGACTGTGTTGGAGTTTGTGTTATTCCAAATTTTGTCACCAGTTTTGACCAAAATGTGTATAAGATTGATATACCAAGGCTACTGAAAGTTCAGATTTCAGTACGATACTGGACCAAACAGTAAACCCATCTGGACTCTGCCTGTACATCGTGTTATCAAAACAGGCAGTTATGAAGTGTAACAAATGTATTTTTAAATCATTTTTTTATCAATCAATAAATCATTATTGATCTTAAATATGCTGTCATGATGCATGTGGATGCCACTTGAAGCATTATTACACCAGGGAATTTGCTGTTAGCTCCTAAATTGCAACTTGAAAAAAAATTAATAAATCAGAGGCAGACCTTTGAGAACCCTTGATAGACATTAAAAAAGCACTTGTACCTACTGTGACCACTCAGAAGAAACTCTGCAGTTTGAACTTGAATCAATAAACAGATGAATTTCCCTTTCCCACTGCTGAGATACTGATAAGGAAAGATGTTGGGCAAACAGCTGTCATAATAAACCTGTTTCCCAGACGTTTAGTCGACAGCCAACTTTGTCCAAATACAAACCACTTTCATAGAAATTTGGGAAATTGACTTTAAAGAAACTTAAATGCAACACAGAGACTGACTATCTTAACAACAAAAAAAAAAGACTTGAGCCCTGACAGTCAATGTAAAATGTCTGTCGCAGGAGTCTTTCATGACTTATGAATGTGGAAATGTAAGAAGATACAGAAGCAGCTGTGAAAGCACAGCATCACAGAGCTAACACAGACAATTTAATCCACACTCAATGAGCCATCCAAATCTCATTACGGCACAGTACTTGTGTGAACACTGAAGTATAAAGATGTGTCTTTTTTTCTCTTTTGGGGGAACAGGATGCAGTGAGGTTTAGGAAAACATTTCTTTGTGCCAACACTGATAACATAATAAAAACTAGTAATTACATGCCTAATATTAATATTATATCTGTATTTATTTAATATTCCTATTATAATCTTAAATAGCTTTTTTCTTTTTTTTTACAAAGTGCTTTACAAGACAAAAAAATTGTACAAACAATGATAAAAACTATTTGAAAATAGTATAAAGGTTAGGCAACACTATACAATAAAGCTGTACATGCAAGAATAAACGCAGAAAACAATATAAAATAATCAATAAAGAAAGAAAAAAGAGGTAAAAATGCATTTGTATCAAATAGGTTTTGAGGTTAAGTGATTGAACAGATAAAAGTGGATACAGACCACAAATCCTGTGAATGTGCACTTAAAAATGTGTTTTTTAAAGAGAGATTTAAAAGAGAATCAGGAGTTCATAACATGCTTTTAAAAACATGCATTTAAAAACCAAAGCGTAAAAACGGCATGGTGGGTTCTGTGCCAGTAAAGAGGTCGTAACAAGGACTAAGAGTGTGACACGTAACCCCCCGTAAAATTGGTGTTTATAGTCCCCAGTTTCTCTAACGATTTAACAAATGGTATATAATGTAACAGCCAGCAGTAGCTTACATTGAATGGACAGGTTTGAGAGAGTGGTATTAATCTTCCTATTAAAGTCAAGGAGAGTTTTTTTTCCGCCAAAACGTCAAACTATTCCTTCAAAACACCTCTATTCCTGCTGATAGAGAGCCTGTTTAAATTCTAAATGATTATAGTGTAGAGGACAAGAAAGTCAAGTCAGATGGAAGCCTCGAGGAAAAAAGAGGCACAGCTGAGATGGAGAACTGAGGCGTTCTTTAGAGACTGCTGTAGATGATTTAAAGACAGGGCCAGATTAACACTTGGGCTTTTGGGAACAAAGCCGCAGGTCTCCAGTTTTAGGATCAAGAGGTAGAACATTATTAACTCTGCTGGAGTGCCCGTTGGCCAATTTTATACCTGATGGAAATGGTTTTGTGCTATAAAATGAACTGAAGCTCGAATTAAAGTCTCTGTAAAGCAATAAAAAAAAGTGTGTCTGTGTGTGTTAATAACCACTCGGTCAAATCTGAATAATTAAAAAAATGCCAAGTAGATAAAATTAGGTTTCAAAGTTTTGAACAAGTAGCAGCATTTTCTGTTCTGAAATGCTGGGTCATATCTACAGAGGGTGCACAGTTTTCACACCTGTCCAAATGAACTAACCGTGCAAACAGTCCTGTGTTTGTCTTTCCTGAACAAAACAGGTAAGATGTGAAATCATCAACGCGCACTTAAGATATGGAATATTTTATAAACATATTTTTTGTGGCTATGGACTAAGTTACTTGCTACAGTAAACCTAGCGCACAAGGTAGATTACATTCATTGGTGCACATGTACTGTGTGGTAACTTTGTGTGAGTAATCCTTTTGATTTGTGGCTGTTGTGCTCCATTTTCTAGTGGTCATTCCCAAGCAGATTTTGTTTTTTTTGCTCCTGTTAACATTTTTACTCACTGTGGGCTCACTGCAATATACCTCTACTGAAACAACACAATCATGGAAGTAGAGACAACTACAAAATGCTTTTTGTGCCATAAAACAAAGCCATAAAATGCCATAAAAAGAAAAAAAATTGAAGTTGAATTGCTTTGATTATTGACTTTACAAAATTTAATAAGACCTGGAATAGCCCTGGAAGTACCCACAGGTGTGAACAATACTGAAAAGATGATTGCTACATACAATAAATATTTTACGAGTTGTCACCTCTCTATTCTATGCAAACACAAGCTGCAGTACAGCCAAAAAATCCTACATTTTTTGTAATGAGACTGTTGGTAAGCTTAGATTTGGTTATTTTTTCTGATGAAACTGGAAATCATTAATGATGACTTCAAGGACTGTCAGAAAGTTGAAAATCTGATGACTCTGCTCTGAATAGTGTCATTTTGGCTACTGAAAAAAAAAAAAAAAAACCTGCCTTTTAAAGTCGCTGGCAGGTTTTGGGGTTCAGAGGGTTAACCATGTTATCTGCCTTATAACATTCTCTCTCAGCTCTGTAACAAAAATAATTTCATGATGCCCAAAAAATGTGTATTTACATAGGTAAATTAACATGTAATTGCTCTAGGGCAGGCCTATTTACCAGTATAATGCACTTAGAAACAAATCTCTGAATTTCCTTAACATGGACTTTAAATGCACCACACTACACTGGAAATGTTCTCTTTTTTCTGGTGATGAGAAGTATCCTGAAATATTCAGAGACATCCCTCAACAAATAATAGAGATTGGAAATATCATAAGTGCACAATGAATAAGATTACGAGATAAATCAAGTTGCACTTCTTGCTTCAAGTTCAACCAAACAAAAGTTACCTCTCAAGTTTTCTCCACTTTCACTGCTCTCATATTCTCAGGAATTTCTGTATTTCTTAAACTAATCTGCTTATGTTTTCCACATATTACACAGGCTCATAACGTGGTACACACCCACAATAAAGAGCCTGAGTGAGCTAAAAGACACACACTCTACACTATATGAGAGGGCGGCAGAATAGCTTTGTGAGATTTATTTTTAATTCCTTTTTTATTACTATGTAAGTAGATACTTTTTGCTTATAAAGCAATAAAGCTGCAGGTTTTATTTAAAGGTCCTTTGCGTGTCTGTGGATGCTTGCACAGACCTCTGGAAGTGCTGTAGCTGTCTAAGCAATATTCTGTTTTTAGGAAGGCGAGTGAGATTAGGCTGCATTGAAGAACAGGGTTAAAAATACTGATCGCCTGGGGGCCCACAGTGCTCTTGAGCTGTTCAGTTCAAAGGTGTTAACATCCATGTTGGCTAAAACTTCCTCATTTTACACACAGACAAAAATTGCTATTTCTTGCAAATGCATTTCTTCGAACTAATTTCATTTGAACCTTAAGTGGAGTTTATGTCTTTGATTTACTGATGTCCGTACAGCTGTGTGTTTCACCATCAAAGGAAAGGCCTACAGCCAAGTGCAACTGATCAGTGGAGACAAAATATTCACTCTCTGTACCTGCAGTAGCACCTACCTGATATGTGTTGTCAAAGCTGTCATACATGAACCGTGTGATCAGAGACGTTTTTCCAACTGCAAGACAAGAAAAAGGCAGACTGCGTTAGACAACAAGCTCCATCTTACTGCATTCAGACATTCGATGAATCTAACAGCAGGATCGGTGTTTGTGGTTTCTGTCATGGCTGTCGCTGCTGCCCAGGGAGCTCATTAGAGTGTTGAGGGTGACCAGGAGGTCAGCAGTGGCGCCAGGTCCACATGTAATTACTGTGCTGCTATCTCTACCAGCATTCATGTGATCCTAAAATTCCATTCAATATACCAAATTGGAAAAATAGGGAGATGAGATGCAAAGTAGTTGTTGGAGACTGAAAGGAACCTGGGGGAAACATCAACCACCTTCACAGTAAAGGCACTATTATCTGGCGCTTTTACAGGCGTCTGTCATCTGCACCGAAAAGAAACCAGACAGTAAGCCAACACACTGATTAATTAGGTGAAACAAAAATCACATTTGGTTGCTTCTAAATGTCCTGAAAAACATTTTTTTCAGTCATCTCATATCTCTCTAGCAATGATGGGATTCTATCTTTGCCCAATGTTTCTCACCTTTTTTTTTTTTAAGGGGGAGTGCTCAGTTAGAAAAATAGTGATTTAATGTATTCCTGTGCACCAGTAGCAAGAGCTGAACCTGAATATTCAACTACTGGATATTAGATTTTCAATTTTAGCATTTGGCTATTCATTTGTATTTGTGTTTTGGGGCTAAATGTAGGCTTTTAATAACACAAATAAACTGCAAAATACATCTTGTCAGCACACTGTTGTACTTTATAAATGCTTATATATTCTTGCACTTTATAAATGCACTTTTCCATCACTTCATTTGTTTAGCACTTTTCACATAAAAAAGAATGTAACACAATAATGCAGAAAACCCTATTAAAACAATTGTTTATTGGGGCTGATGGTTTAGTTGTGTTGTTGCACCATTCTGTCATTTCACCTTGGAAAAAAGAAAAACAAAACTGTTTGCTAACTGCCCTGTTTGTGTGCTTGTTTGTCATGTTCATGAGGCCCAGTTTGTTACAGTCTCTTTGATTACTAATAAGCAAGAGTCACCCCTGAAAAAAAACATGTTGATTGACTGCTAGATCAGCTGAACAATGAGGCAAATTTTTTTTTAAATGTTGCAGTTGCAACAAAAATCTAACATTTCCATTGTTTCCTCTACGTTCATTTAGCAGCGGCGGCCCACCATTCCTAAATCCTCACCGTCGCTCCTTCAAATTTCTTTTCTTTCTTTTTTTTATTGTCGCAAATACACCACCGCCGCATGTCTCCACCTTCACAGCAGAGTCCTGCACTGGGCTGGGTGCTCACGACTACTATGATAAACTACAGATAACTATCTTGCTCAGTCTCTACTCT